AAATAATTTCAATTTTTGATGCCTAATGAAAATCTTTTCTCAAAAGTATCCTCCCATGTGATTCATACAGTATTGCTGGATAAAACTCATAGAAAGCAAAGTAAAGCTTTCAAATAAAAGATAAAAGCAAAATGTACAATTTGAAAACATTTATGTTCAGTATATTTATATCAAAGTCAAGCCAATAACAATCTTCAAAAATCCATCAATAACCATGAAGTTACTAAAATATGCCTAACCTATTTGAATGATGGTTGGTGGCTATAAGATGAAACTTTTAATTTAATAGCATCCAGTTTTCTCAAAGCCACAATTAAATTTTTTCCCAAAGATTTATTTGTAGAATCATTTGATTTTCTAATTTGTCCTGAGGACACAGTTAAATAACAAAAGAGCAATAATTATATGTAAGTAAGAACAACAAAATAGTAGCCCTTTGGGGAAATAAATGTGAATATGTAAATATAGAATAAAGATTTAATGCAGATATTTAATGCAAAGCAGAGTACAATGGCCAAATAATCTTTTTATGTCTTTTCTGAAAGTTTGCCATAAAATGGGACCATCATCCCAGCAATTATTAGGAGACATACTAGGACTACAAAGATTTTTTCCCATAAAATAAGTAGATGTACCAAGGGATATGTAAATAGTCAGAAAATGTCACATGATCTCATGTCATTTATCATGCTGTCCCCCACTCAGATCCCAAGTCCTATGAGTATTTATTGACTTTCATTAGTAGACATATAAGACAGTCAGTATTTCACATTCTAATGTTTAAATTTTAGCTTCCCTGACAGCTTACTGTTGCTTTTTTAACACTAAGTCTAAAAATCTAAATTTATTATTGTTACTGATTAAGTAAACATATAATATATGAAAGTTACAGTGAAATACCTACATTTGGGTCATTAATATGAACATTGGTATATGAACCACAAAATCATTTTCTTTTTTTTCATTGTAGATGGACACAATACCTTTAATTCATTTATTTTTATGTGGTGCCAGGGATCGAACCCAGTGCCTCACACATGCTAGGCAAGTGCTCTACTACTGAGACACAACCTCGGCTCACAGAAATCATTTACTTACCCATCAAATCATACTTGTCCTTCAAAAACTCTAAATATCAATTGAGCATTCTTTAAAAAATACATTTTTTAAATGTACTTTCAGTATAGGATCAGAAATATCTGCATTTAGAATTTGAAACTCCTTTGGAAAAATTGAAGAATTTGTTTCATTTTGGACAACTATCCCAGAAAGAAGCAGGAAATATTTCCATATCACAATGATAAAGTAAGGTCCCATATCACAACAGTAAAACCTAATTAAAAGCTTTAATTTAGTATGCAAATTTCTACTTCAAAGAGGAATTTTACTTTCTATGGAGACAGGATTAACTTTGAAACTACTGCTGAGACATCTCCAACTTTCATGTAGATAAAAAGTAAGAATTGGAAGAGAGCAACATGGTAAAAGTCTGCAAATATTTCTGAAGGAACAAAATACCCAGTAATTAATAATTTTAAAATTTATCTTAGTGGCTCTATTTCCAAGGTATGTGAATACTAGATGTACATAAGAAAATACCTAACAGGGCCATACATTTATTCCTCTTCTGGTAACCACCAATCTGGTATTAATGGTGTCCTACTTCTAAATGTTTTACCACTTGAAACAATCTCGAGTTATTAGACTACTTTCCAACTTGCCATGAGGATATTCACTTGAAGTTCATTATCATTCTATTTCATATGGACTCAAGAGGATTCAAAGGTTACACTTTACTGTATCTTAAGATTTGTTTAGGATTCTGATCCTGAGAAAATTCATAAGCCATCAGATGCATTTGTGTTACAACTACTATTTTTTTTAAATTCTATTCTTTAAAAGAAGGTCATTCCTTTATATAAATCCTTTCCTTGTTTATGCATATCAATGACCTCAATTGCCCTCATGGGTCTCAACAGATGGATTTCTTGAAAACTTAACTTTTGGGAGCTGGTAAAGATATTAGAGATCATCTACTCCAATCCCTTCATTTTATGGTTGAGGACACAGAGCCCAGAAAAGATAGCTGAGTGACTCTGGGCAAGTTTCCTACAGAGCAGCAGAGCCAGAACCAGAAGCCAGGTCTCCTGACTCCCAGTTAGGAGCCAGGTCTCCTGACTTTTAATCCAAGGATCTTTCCATTACACACACTGATTCTCTTCTTTGAGGCTGTCTTGGGCTGTCACACTGACCAAGCTACTTTGTAACTGATCATGTTCACTAAATAAAATGCCTTGATGATAAGTCATGGGACATTGGAGTGTCCCTGTATAATCAGGCTATCCTATAATTAGTCACATTTCCTCTGCCTGGAAATTTCAATGGCTCTTCATTGATCATACGGTAAATTTTAAGTTCCTTAATATGCTACTCAAAGCAGTATATGGTTTAGGCCTAACAAATCTGATGAAACACACACACACACACACACACACACACACACACACACACACAGTCTCTCTCTGTGTCTCCCTTTCTCTCTCTTTCTCCCTCTCATGTTGATGCTAGACTTCATTCATTTCTTCCAAAATATTAAACTCCTTCCCAGCTCAATTCCTTTCCTGCCTACAAAGACTCTTACTCCATGCTTTGTCTTGCTAGCTACCAACCATTCTTCAGTTCTCCATTTAAATACAAGCCCCTTGAAGTTTACCTCAAGCCCTTTGATATCTTGCCCTGCCCAAACCCCATTTCACAGTCTAATTGCAACTTCAATATTTTAGGTTCCGTCAATGGATAACATATTCAATTACCTATAAAATGTGTTTCTTTGCTAATCTACTCCAAATTTTGTAAGAATAGGTGCTATGTCTATTCTTAATCACCTCTACTACCATTCAGAATGTGTCTGTAACACAGTCACCATAATAGTTATTACTTACTGGTTGATTATTATGTCATAGACCATAGTCTGATGATCTCATTCAAACAACCACCAAATCTTTAAGGTTGGTATTAGTATTGTACAAATTTTACAGACTGTAGAACTGAAGCATTGTGTAAGACACACAGTAAACAGTGGAACCGAGTTGAATTGACACATTCTTATTCCAGAGTCCAACACGGCTGAGCTCAGACATATTTCTTGAATTAATGAATGAATTCATGCACTAAATCAAATTAATAGTTTCACTGAAGTATATAAATGCAGTAACAACATGTTTAGTGTTCACTATATGCCTGGCATTATTTTAAGTATTATATATATTTAAATTATTTACTTTCACAACAACCTATAAATAGATAATACTAGATAGATAATAACTGTTATTATACATATATGTAATAACTATTGCATACATGAGAAAAACAAGGCACTAGATAGATAATAACTGTTATTATAGCATACACACACACACATACACACACACACTCTTGTGTGTGTACATAAAATAACTGTTGTATACATGAGAAAAACAACACACGGAGATGTTAAGGAACTTGCCCAAGATCACACTTTTAGAAAGTGACAGAGCTGGGGTTCAAATGCCAGCAGTGTATTTCCAGAGTCTGTACTCAACTTCTCTTTTATACTGCTGCACATGATAGCTTATATCAGAAGACAGACTGATGAAAGTTAATGAATTCCTAAAGTAACAATCATTAGTGAATCCTAAAGTGATAAAACAAAGAAAGAAAAATCCATGTTTAAGCTAAAATAACTACATTTGATGGAGACAAAATTCCTCCTCTGAATGGATGAATTACTAACAGATGGTAGCCCCCTCCTTCTGGTAGAGAGAATGTCACAAAAGAGTGAAGGGAAAGTCTTTCTGAACTTCTGATGGTGGCTGAACTTCTGACTCATTGACCTTTGACTGAGCACCTTTGTGAAAAAACTACAGTTTATGTACCCATATTTGATAGCCCTGGTTAAACCATGAAAAGTTGCCAAAATAGGGTGCACACAGTGAAGAATAAGTGAACATCTAACTCTAAGGGGGGAAATAAATAAGAATAAACAAAATCCATGCAAAAATTCACAACCATAGCAAGCAGGAAAAAAACTTGCTAAAATGGGCTCAAACCTCACCAAATGAGGTGAAAATTTCAGATGGACAGAGTGGTTTTCATTAATCTTTACAGTTTCATCAACTGGGGTGTGACAATACCAACACTAACCCTGTAGCATTCCTTAAAGAATAAAGCCATGTTGACAAATCCCTTCTGCAAATGATAAAGTGCCTTATATATTCTACTTTGACTCAATATCCAGATCTTATATCTTATAAGCTCTGTAAGGATCCTTTCCCCAAGATGTAAATCAATTTTATTCTTCAGGAAAATATTAGTGTATACTATGATTTTTTAAATGTACAAAGCTATTTTGCACTTGTAGAAATTTTATCCAGAGAAATGAAGAAGCAGCTTTGCTTGAGGTAGGCTTTTTCTCAACAATATTGTCAGACAAGTACATGGAAACAAAGGTGAATTAAGAAGAAAAAGTTTAGTTCAAGGTTAAATAACTGTAGTCAGCTCATTTGGACAAAGGATAGATGCTTTTGTTCCTGAGATTGGGTATTTAGCAGTTTTAGAAGGTGTGCTATAAAAGTAGGACAAAGAAATCTAGTTTTAGAAGCTAGATTTCACAGGCTATGGCCTGTGAACACTGTCAAAAGAATAGGTCAGGTTAGTCAGTTATATGAAAGAAAAGTGAAAAATAAATCAGACTAGTATATAAATGTACTAAGCAATTTGACCACATATTTCCACATTTCAATGAATGATGTTGGAATCATGAATCACAATTCATATGAAAGACACTGGGAAATTCATTGAAATTTTCCACATGCTTCAGGTTTCCCAGATGAAAAATCCAAATAATGAAAGCCTTTCTTTCCAAGTTGCTATCACATGCTTAGGTGAAGGAGACTGTAAGAGGAAAAAGCAACAACAACAAATGTTATCTATGGTCACAAAATGATATCTTATAACCTTACCTAATAGATTGGTTAACCACAAGGCCAGATCTTCTTTCATCGGTAGCAAATTAGCTTCATGTCTGCTGGCCAGCCATTGGCTATACTGATGCATATCAGAGAGGCCAGGCCCACTGCGCACCTTTGGGCTCAGAGCTGTGCACATTATTTATCCACTTGTAATACCTGTTTTGGAAACAAAAAAGCAATTGCTTTTATACAGACTTATGTGGTTAAAATCTTGCCACAATGACAACGTATTGAACCAGTTTCATGGTTTTGTTTTGGGATTTTGTGTGTGTGTGTGTGTGTGTGTGTGTGTGTGTGTGTGTGTGTGATAGGTCAGGTGATTAATTATTAAACTCCATGAAACATTGCTTTATTTGTAAAGGATCTCTCACTTTTGGCCAACCACTTGGTAGTAAATAACAGCAGTCAAAGGTCAAATAAGAAATCAAACAGTAACCCCTTAGCTCATGTAAAAGAATATATTTGGAAAGGATCAGCTGCTAAGGCAAGAAATTCCATTTACTTGAACGCAATAAAAAGTGGTTGAATTAAACTTTTAATGTCCAATTTGTTAACTCTCATTGTTTGGGTTAATTTTTGAAAACACAAATTTTCATAAAGTTTTAGGACTAAATATTATCAGTTACATTATTTGCACAATTTATGGTAAACACATAGTCCTCCTAAAACTGTTGCCTAAAAGATAAAGCATAGTACCTGGTTTTTGAAATAGCCAATTAATTAAAAACTCACAATAAAAGAATTGAGTGGGGGACAGGTAAGGCAGTGCATTCAAAAGATCTCTTTGATGGTCACAGAAGGCAACCAGCAGAGAGTTTCTGACTTAACCAAGATCAGACAGATCATAGCACAGGAAGGCTGATCTGGGTCTTCACACATCAACACTCTTTCCATAATGACACATTTTTATAAAATGCACTAATCAAGAGCTCATACTAATAATCTAGAATTACAACTTAATTCTAACAAATCCTATCACAGGTAATTTTTTCGTCCTCTACTATCATGTCTTTCTTCCTTTTTATCTTCCCACTTAGTCTATTTTACCTGATGGGGTTTTGTTTGAAATAATTTTTAGAGTGGGAATAGATAAATGTTTTATTCTATAAAACAAAAAATAACTTCATTTAATTGATTTCCTTATTCCTGGTACAACATCCCATGTGTTATAGAAAAGATATTTGAATATATATCTGAATATAACACTTTTATTCATGACTATCAGGACATAAGTCTATAGAAATTACTGTTGAAACTGCTAAAATAGTGAAGTCATATGTTTATGAACTTGTATTTCATTCTGTCTATAAATAAAATATGAATATGAAATTAGTCAAATGCAACATAATTAAATAAAAATATTTGCAACAGGCATGGAATAAGATTTGTATGCTATCATAAGATTTTCAGTTATATATTAATATTTGTTTTATTTTCTAGTTTTCAGGGCTGGGATAGAACCCATGCATGCTTGGCAAGCTATCTCTACCACTAAGCTACATCCCTAAGGCTATCTGTGGCATTGTAAAGTTAACAATACAAGTTATGTGCTATCTATTTTATTCTTAGAAACTTTGCATATTATTCATTTTCAGTTAATGCTGAACTGTAATTCACTTAGCATTGGTTAATTTCTTTTCATGACTATTTTTTGAAAATGTAAGACATTGGTGTTTCAAACAATGCAAAAATGTCACCACCTCCTAAATATTAGAAGAGACTGTTAGGAAAGTGAATAAATACCAAAAATGTGTCATAAATTTTACAACTTAAAGGCACAATCACAATTTCATTACTCTTTTGAATAATATTTGAAAACGATTATCATAAATTCTCTTTGATAACATTCTCTAAATCTCTAAGTATCTAAAGTGATATAGCATAAATAGGAAATGTTTTTACTCTACCATACTGTAAGTTACTAAATTGATGGTATATGAATCAGAATATATACCATTGTTGCAGTCTATCACAGTTAATGATGACATTATTCATATAAAGTACTGAAGTTTTCTCCAAACCCTCTGATTAATCACAAAAATCCTAAAACACCTTTCAATTTCTGTTCTCTTAAAAATAGGTCCATTCCCAGCAAAATAAAACATCTGTTTGTAGCTGGTTAGGACGTCTACAGGCCAGCTACTCTCAGAAACAAACATTTAAGTAATAATACATTTAAGCACATGATTCATATGTTTAAATAACTAATTGAAATCTTAAAAGGGTTACCTCTAAAATGCCTTTCTTCTCAAGACACAATCTCTCCCACTACTTTCCTGAAAGTGAGATGTGGTGCTTTAGTAACTTTACCTACACCCTATTATGTGTTCTGCAACTTCCATTGAAGCATCAGAGCCCTATTTTGCTCTGTAAAAGCAAGAAGACACCTCAGATTCTTAAGCTCATTGTCCAGCAAAGAATTCATCAAGGGATAGTTTACAGTAAGCCTAATGGGGTGCAACCATTTCAATGAGTCAGAGGGACACAATCCTTCCCCTCAATACTTGCAAACAGTGAAGTTTTTATCTTCCTTGACAGTGCTACATTTATTTCTCATGTCATCTGGTTTGCATTTTGCCAGAAATGTAATTCAAGCTATCTTCTAATATGTACAGGTGATCATCAAGTAAAAACAATCAGAATAATCCAGCAATTTTTATTCTGATACTTTGTATATAAATCAAAATTCCAGTGGGGAGAAATCCAAGAATAGAGTTACACTGCCCCAGGAGGCCAACCTGAGAGCAAGAAAGATTAATGGATAATTAACATGCAATAAAAGTTAATTAAACATAAGACAACTATGTATAAACCTAAAGTCACTCTCATAAATGAGGACTTTTAAGTCGCCTCTGAAAAGAATTAGGGTTGTCAACCCAGTTTCTCTGATCCATTTTCAATTTTCAGATTGCCACTAAACTGAGCATGACTAGATGGGTTAGCTGAGTGTTGTCAAGTGGAGGTCTTAGATTTAGACTTTGCAGAACAGAGCACAGGAAACACAGAAATAGATCCAGATTGCAGGAACAAAATTTAGAGTCTGGAAGATTTTATGCTATGGTGAAATATATTCCAATTGAAAGGATTAAATTGTGCAAAAAGATTCAATGAGTTTGTACTACCCAGATGAAAAGATATTTATAGAATTTGGCCATTTTATAATTTTTATAAATTATTTGTTGAATCAACCCAGATGAGTTGAATTTGAATCCTAAAGAACAAACTGTAAATAAGGATTATTTCAGTTCTTTAGAACTCAATGAAAAGTTTTCAAAACCACGAAAGATGTCAAGAGGTAGCTTGTAAAGATGGGAAATGAAATGATTAAATGATCCACTAGGATTAAAGAACAAAGTTCAGTTAGAAAGAAATAAACAAATTTTGTATGTCTAAACATTGACAGATATTACCAATAAATTTATATAATCTAAATATTTTAGAAGCTTGATCAGTAATTTTGGCAAGTATTAAAGTCAATCACTTTGAAAAGAATAAGAACTCAAATACTTCTGTGAATCAGACCATGGTTCCAGAAAACTTTTTTGGTCTATCAAAAGTGGATAACTCACCCCTCAGCACTTAGAATTAAGGAAAACAAAATTTAAAGGGAAAAACATGCAGAAATTTAATACAGACTTTTTCAAAGACTGTGTGTATGTAGATTTTTCTTTCTTTCCATTGTAGATGTGATCTGGAATAGCAATTATGGATATGATGAGACTTGAACAAGCCCAGGGGAAGAAGAAAAAGTTAATGACTCTATAAGTAAAATATCACATGTTTAAAGACTCTGTCTAGCCTGTTGCTCCAGAATCTCAGCTGAAGATACCACTTGTGACTCTGAAAAAAAAAAAGAAAAAGGGGGACTCTTTCACGCCACCTAGAGGTGTTCTTTATTGTGACCAAAATGGTTTGGGGCCTATCTCTACGTGCTGCCAAGTTAGAGAAAATGAATTGCAATATTATATATAAAATAAATAAGAAAGAAAAAAATAAGAATTAAATTAGATAAACATTACATCTCTACTGTCTTCTAGGAGATTCCATTAAGAAGTCAAATTACTGGAAACAATATTGGAATCAGAAGTCCTAGGGTCAAATAAAGGTCCCAGTACCTTACATTTGGTAAATATTCTATTCTAGTCCCATGTCTTTTTCTCTTTGATTTTTCACTGTGTATAGTGCAAACTAACACTTCAAAGATATTGTGAGGATTAAATATTTGCACTAATGCTGATTATTTATTTTGTGGTCAATATATTCTACATTAACAAAATTTAAAGCATCACCATCAGAAAATGKACTACTACTACTACTACTAATAATAATAATAACAACAACAGAAAAACACACACGTCCATTGACTTATTTTGGAAAAACATTCTGTAACAAAGTAAGAACATTCTAGATAATTTTGAATCATTAAGTAAACAGCAGTAAAGGTGAAGTACAAAGAGAGAAAGTATCAGTACTATAAAGCCATAAATAATGAAAAATCCAAAGTTTCATTCATATCAAAAAGAATGTCATTGCCAAGATGATATATGAAAGGTGAGAAGTACAGTGAATAGTGTATGTGGGAGGGTATAATATGCTAATTTATCATATGTATATTTTTACACCAGTTGAAGAGCATAAGCTATTAAGATAGAGGAATGCTGTAAGAGGATATCACTACCAACACACCTCAACTCTCACTTCTGTCTCTTCCTGTCTCTCCCTCTCTTTCACACATACACACATACACACACACACTCAACTGTGGCCAGTGAAAGCAAGGAGTCCAAATGAATCTACAGTCAAGTGTCCCTCACTAAAGGCAACCTCCACTCTCATCAGCATTGTTGACCCTACCGGTATCTGTTCAGTTTGGGGTGTTGTGGATGTTGAACAATGCAGAAAAAAAATTCATAGACTAGTTACACCATATTTTAAAACTAAAAACAAACAAAAATGCCCCAAACCAAACACCTTTCCAAAATCTAAAAAGAGAAAATACCATCTTTCAAGTTAGAATCAAAGAATTAAAAAAAAAAAAGTTGTGTTTTTTTTCACAATTGTATTTTAGTCTTATGTGATTCATTTTGACTAATCATAATCTTTCTACACAATGCATAGTCTCAACCAATATTATGAATGAAAAATCTTATAAGTATCTAATCAGAAAATAAAGTCCACAATTTAAGCATAAAGGTGATTTCAGATTTTRTAATCTGAAATTTTAGTTCTGCATCTAGCAGGGGTGCCATTTGTCCAAGACAAATAAATTATCACCAAACATAATAGCAAAATGACATTAAATGCTAGTTTATCTACTTATGTGATAAATTATTTAAACCTAAAGCAACCTTAGAAAATGTATCAATATTCCTCATTATTAGTAAGAATCTGGGCTTAAGAAGAAACATTGCCCAAAGTAACAAAGCTGTTTGGACATAGTCCTTAGAAGTATCCTAGCCTGCCCTCCTGGAGCTCAATCTCTGTGATATTAACTCTCCTCCTGTCACCTCTTTCTTATCCCAGTCCTCTACTGATGTGTTTTGAATGAAATGATGAAGTACCTCAATACCTAGTCCTTCTCAAACCATGACCAAAATAATAATAACAACAACAATAAAAATAATAAAGCTGAAGGTGAATGGATTTTCTACATTCTCATAACATTAGGGTTTCTTTTGTTTTATCCAATTAAAAAAAATTAATAAACCATTCTTCCAAACAATTTAAAACAGATTTTTATGTCTCCACCAGATTAAAGTGAAATATACAAAACTATCCAAAATTAAATAACTGGAAATATTTAATGACTTATTAAAAGTTCACATAAACCAATTAGTAACTCTTAACTAATGAGCAGGATTTTGTAAAAAATTACTTAAAACACAAACATTCCTGATTTACTTGACTCTAAGGTAGTTAAGACCTATGAGAGTTCTACATTTTGTTTCTAGATATGAATTTCTTGTGTAGAGTGAAAAAGTTAGCAAAAGTCCAATTGAACTGACTCCAAAAGCTTTTTAATAAAGAAATTTACACAAGTATCTTACCCATTTTCATAAGAGATTTTTTTTAAATTTTAATCCTAACCTTTCCTATARTCAATTATAGTTGCTAAGGAAAATTTTTAAAGAAACAGTGGATCTTGCCTGGGGCACAATATAAAAACCACAAAATATACCAAATAACACTACAACATCTATGGCCACTTTACTCATAAGTAAACAAATTGTGAGAGCCTCCTCATTTGTTTTCAACCAAGGTATCATAGTTCTTTCAAAAGCTCCCAGAGTCTACAATACAGACTTTCAGGGTTGAAGCAAAGTTCTAAAATAACACACATCATACTGATGATTCATATAAGACCTGACATTTCAGCCTTCATACAAGTTTAAGGTTTAACTAAGGCTTCATACCAAGATACCAGGGAACCCAGAGGCAATCACAGGTCCTTTATACTAGGTGAAATAAATTTTGTCATGTGAATTTATTGCCAGTACAGCACAGTCCATATCACCCAAGCAGAATGATTAACAATGAAATGAAATTCCAAAGTTCACTAACAAATAGGCTGAAATCAAAGCTACCTTTCTGTGCCAGAGACTACTCAGACAGCCCTGTGCAAATGCCCCAATGTGCCTTATGAAGGCACCTTGTCCCATGTTTCATCCCACTGGCCCTTACCTTCCTTAAGCAGTCAGAACCTGGATGCCCATGTTGGAAAGGACCACCATAGCCACCACCTTTTCCACAGTTAGAGGGAAACATTCCTTGAGAAAGAACTCATGGATCAATTTCAAAGACAAGCTGGGCAAATCAGATCCCAGTAGTAGTTACTCAGTGTCCACAAAGCTAAGAAGTTGAGGGAGAGAAGCAAAGAGCACAAGGGTTGGTTCTCAGCCTTGCCTCTGTGAATCTCAGGGGATAAGTGGAGAGGAAAGGAGAACTTCCTCTGTCTGGCTGGTCCATCCAACCTGTCTGAGCCTTTATTTCAATCCCAGGAGGCCTAATGGGTGTTCCTGTGCCCGCGCAGATCTTATTTCCTCTGCATAACATCTCCCATATACACTGGATCAAGCTTGGTTGGAAGGTTGGGAGGGGCGGTGATAAGAGTAAAGTTTTGTGAATTCTTGATTGTAAAAGAATGAAGATGAAGAAAGAGGGAAGGGTAAAGGCTGAAAGGTTAACTTGGCAAAATATGCAAATATCTGCTCCCTCACACATACCTCCAATTGTATTGGAATGTAGAAAACAATTTATAAATTCCCGATTTTACTCCTCTCCTTTCCAGAGACCAGACAATCTGAATTTCTGGACTGTCAATTGCCATTTACCATATTGAGTTGATTCAGTGCTCCCCAATTTCAGACTCCAGTCTACTCTTTAAGCTGGACAAAAAAGAATGATAGCATGCAAAATCTTCCCAAAGGGTATTGATACAGGGGCTAGAGTTTGTTCATTAAGGAAAAGCACAACTCCATCCAACTCATTCAATGGAAAGGAACATCTCCCCAAATCTCAAAGTGTTGCATTCTTTCCTCTCCTCCTGGCCTCTCTGACTCAAAAACATTCAAGATCAACCGATTAACTACCCTTTCCTCTCCCTTCTCCCCAGCAGCAGACAATGCTGAGCCTTTATTAGACACTCTTGAGCAAGTATGCATATGTGTACATTTATAATCAATGTGCTAATTAGAACTCCTCACTTCTGCCCCTTGTTGGCTGAGCCATTCCAGCAGGCTTTTGGGGCTGCTCCACACTGTAAGGATGTGGAGCACATGGTTGTTTCCAGGGAATCACAAAATCACCCACTGTACGCACTAAGGCTCTCAGCACCACAGCCTACTCCACGGGCGACGACTCTCACGCTTCCCTGCGACATCCCTGCGGTTATTGTTAGTAACCTGCCCCTCCCCCTTCGCCCCCGGTGAAACAGACCGGCAGGGGCTCTCGCAACCCCTGGCTGCAGAGCATGCATGCTGCTGCAGCGTTGGCGGAGAGCTTGCCCAGCCCGCCTTGCTCACCCCCGGGTTCCGAGCTGTGCTGTTGGCTGCTTTCAGAGACGCCAGGGCTCCCGCCTGGGCTCCTGCAGATTCTTGGGGCCGGCCCCCTCCAGGCGCAGGTCCTCCAGCAGCGGCTCCCCGCACCCCACCAGTACAGCGGCAGAGGCAGCGGCAGCGGCAGCAGCTACAGTCGCACTGCCCCTCTTCATACTTCTCTGAAGTCTCCTCTTGGTGCAGTTTGGGAAAACGATTTTTCCCCCTGCCAGAAACAGATTTCCTACATTTCATCAGTCCACATAGACCGAGCGGAAGTAAAATGCTTACTTTTTCTGGTGGACAGCAAACGCAATTGACACTGATTTACCCTTCAAACGGGGAGAGATTGTATTACAAGCCTTTGGCAGCAATTCCGAGGTTGGGGCCAAGCTCCAGCCCCTCCTTGTCCCCCAAACACTAACCTAAGAGAAGAGGTGGGGGTGGGGAGGGGGGATCATATTTAACTCCAGGGTTTTAACAGAGTCGATGGCTTTTGCACAATATTAAAATTAGGTGTTGGAAAAGTTTTTCTTTCCTGGCCTGTGATTTGCAGACTTAGAGGCATGAGATTTCCAGTAACTTGGGCCACTCTTCATTCCAAATTGAAGAATTTGATGTCTTCTTACAATTCTCCCTAAATATCAGATTTTTAAAAAGACTGTGCTCACGGCTGTTTTCACTTTACAAAAGGAAATGCAATTCCACCCTTCGTTCTCTCAGTCGTAGTTCAGCATKATGTTGAACATCCTAGACAATTTAATCCAACTGTTGTTTATTAGAGTATGCATTCTGAGATGAAAATTCTTGCATGAAGTCCACAGATGTTCAAGTGTCTGCTTCAGTTCTAATATACAGGGGCCCCCTTGCTAAGGTGTACTAACCGCCTCAAGTTACCTCTTCCCATGGAGACTGGATGCAAAGTATCACACATTTGTATTGTTCTCCTATTCATTGATTTCTTGATTTCTCCATCCGTTGTATATGATAGCAGTGGGATAGGTATTCAGATCCTTTCTTGCATACTAACTTTTAACTCCTGAGATAGTTATCCTCACCCTCTACACCCTAAAATTAGAAATTCCTTGTAGATTCAGAGTAGCAAAGGAATGTGGATAATTTTAGATATAATTGAAAAAAAATTTTTTTTGCATTTTTTTATCGCTTTCATCTGAAAGTGGTCATTGGCTCTGAAATATTCAGAAACTATATCACTTATTTACTTCTGCTGGTAGTACAAATAATAAAAAAGTGAAGAAAACAGATTTTAAAAGTTTGAGGCATTGAATTTCAACCTTTTTATTTTACTTCAGTCTAACATTGTAACTGTCAGCTCCATCATACTTCTCAGCTTCCCAAAAGAAAGGGGGAAAATACCATTCCTCATTTTAAGGATAAATTGAATTATAAGAAGACCTGCGTAAATCACAACAATGAAACAGAACTCTTTATTGATGAACGTATGGAAATAAATATGAATAATAAAAGTTTTCAAAATTTAACTAAATCTGAGCATTCCTAGAGCCCTAGCAAAGTATTTTGAGTTTGTGAGCCTCTGCAATTTAAGTAATATGTCAATGTCTTCGATAATTTCTTATGATCAAATCATCATCTGATAAATGTTCATTTATGCATTTTCAGGATATATAAGACTTCAAAAATTTAGCACCTTAAAATTATTTTATAAATATTTATTTTTTTAGTTGGACACAATATCACCTTTATTTATTTATTTTTATGTGGTGCTGAGGTTGGAACCCAGGGCCTCACACATGCTAGGTGAGAGCTCTACCGCTGAGCCACAATCCCAGCCCAGCACCTTGAAATTTGAAGAATCTTTGATCTTGTTCCTTCCAAGATATATTTTCGTCACATTGTTCAATACTGATGTTATAAAAAGCAAGGTGTAAGACTATATTTTTGTTGACCCAGGCATAATTCTGAACCCTGTTTTGGAAAATAAGAACTACAGGTGCATTAGAAAAACATAAACACTCAAAATTACTTCCTCTTCATTCCCCATTCTTCTAGATAGACACTTTTAGTTTTAACTCACACTTTATACCAGATCTCCTCTTTTTTTAGGAAGATCCATGAGGAAAATTCCCAGAGAAATGAAGACTATGCATTTTCTTCCCTTAGTATCTAAAAGTTGTGCTAAATATTTTTTGGTGACAAAAGARAATTAATACAAAGATTTTGAAGAAGTAGCAAAGTATTTTTTACATTTGCATTTTCTCAACATGTGGAACAACTCCTATTTGAATTTTGTATTTTCAAAATTAATATTTATATATTTATGTACTTTAATCAMTCATTTTGACATTTGTCAAATATTTTTTCCTAAGGATTTTTTTTAGCTTAGTCTCAAATTGTTCATCTTAGAAACAATACAGAAACCATCTTAAAACCAGCTAACTCAACTCTAACCTATCTGACATGAGGTAAAGGAAGCAAATATCTCACTTAATAGATGGGCAATGCCTAAATACATCTTAAAACCTGACACCATAAAAAAAAATCACACCAAATTAAAAAAAAAAAGTTTAGTTTTTTTTTAATGTCACAATTAGAAAACTTTAATATTGAAAGTTTCTGTGTTACTATGCATTTCTGGCATTCTAAACTTTCAACATTATTCCTGTTATGAACTTATGCCTTTTCCCTGAAAAAAGAAAAAATAATTTAAAGAGGTAATAAAATAGCTTGGTTTTTTTCATCACCTATATACATTACCTCCCCTTTGTATTTTCTTTCTCCTTCCCTCCAATGAAAACAATATATATTCACTTATTTTGAAAGAATTTTAAAAAATTGATGGAGGTTAGAGAATACCTTGCAGGAAATTTAATTTAATAACATAGAAATATACACCTGGTTAAAGTCAGTAAAATAAATTTCAAAATGTGATTAAAAAATAATTATATTACTAAACAGTTTTAAAAGGACAGTTAAATATGGCAATTTATAGACTTGGAAGCAAGTGAGAATAATGATAGGAAAAGCGGAATGAACACATGCAGAATGGGACTAAAAACATAGGAAGCTACATAATAAGTGAAACATCTATTTACATTTTATTATAACACCTCATCAGTAAACTAAAGTATATTTATCTTTTCCTACTTAGCATCTTTATTCCATGATCTAGGTCCTCAATTGATACTTATTGATTTTTTTTAAATGTTATAAGGCAAAGTAATGAAATTTTACAAGTCCTAGCATGGTGTTCACAAGTAGTTTTAGGAATAAAAAAGGACTGGTTTCTGACATTTTAAACAATAAATGCTACTACTTCTCACTACCACACATATTTAAAAACTACAAAGAATAAATTGAGAAAAACTGCATGTGAAAAGTTAAAGACTAGCTCTTTATTTAAAATTAAGTTTAAAAAATCTGCTCACTYTCTATAGAGAACTTTAAATTTTATAAGTCCACACAATAGTAGGACAGATGTTCATGCCCTACTGTGCAAAATATATGTTACATAAGAGCACATATTTTCTAATTTTTCTACAAGGAATATATTAAAATCTTTTTATGAAATATGCTATTTGTCTCATCTAGTTTTGAATATTCTATGCCATATATATGATAGTGTGACTTCCCTTATCTAAACTGAAGTTGGGTATTTAAAGCATTTTCCCTTCATTATATGTTTATTGTAGTTTGCTTCAAAATGTTTCATTTTAAATCTGTCATCTTAATTCTAAGAAGCTCACATATAATAAGAAAGTTTAATATAAAAATTTGTTTCAATAATCTTGCCCCTCTTTTGCACCACTGCATCTTTAGCATATAGTAAGCACTCAATAGATAACTGTTGAATGAATGAATAGTTATTATAGAATAAGCTAGTACCTTAGCAATCTTACTTTTTGTTGGTCACTTTYATATATTGTTCCTAATTTGGTAGTTTGAGACTTAGAAGAGAAAACTAATGTTAAAATAACTTTACAAATAATGGTTTAATTCCCAAGCTAGAAGCATTTCATCTGGTAAAATGTACTAGAGTTCACTGAAACAGATGCTTGCCTGTGTGCCAGGCTTATAAATGAGGTCAGTCTGTGTCACTTGTCACTTCATTAAAAACCAAGGTTGATTTGGACTCAAGGTTTAATCATAACCAATATAACATGAGTGTAATGAAAAGCAATAGAAAATATTACTACTAGAGTAGTTTTCTTTTCTTTTTTTAAAATTGTGACCCACAATAAGAAATACATTATGGAACAGACACATAGAAACACACTCAAACACTTATAGCCTGGACATGTTTCACCAATACTACTTGACTTACTGAACTACTGCACTCTGATATTTTTCTGTTTGACATTTTTCTTGCTCTCTTTGTGCCATTCAATTGAACAGAAATGCTGGTGGTGAATGTCTAAATTTGCTTCATGATCCACAAATTGAAAAAAAAAATCTTACTATAAGGAAACGAAACCAAAATCAAAACTGAGGTCAGTTACCAATGAAAAGCTACTTTAATTAGAAAGTACAAGAGAGAGAACTGCCTATATTAAATTCTCAGTAGATATGGCATGATGTAATGTTACAACATCCCAAACATCTTAAACTCTCCCACCTCCTTGACTTTGCTTATACTAACTGGAATGGTCTTTTACTTTCTCCACTGAACAAATCAGACTCATTCTTCCAGGGACACCTTAATAATTGTCACCTTCTTTTGGGTTTTCTTGATCTCCCTAACAGAAAAATAAAACAAAACAAACAAACAAAAAACAATGCTTGTCTTTCTGTGTCCAGAGCTCTGAGCATTTTGTCATTCTTTTATATTTCATTTACATGATAGTATCCCAGTTATTTGCTTGTGCATCTACCTCATCTACTCAACTGTGGGTCCTGGAGAGCAAGGATCTATCAAAGATGAACTGAGTGGAAATTTCTTTGTAAAGAAGGCACCAGATGTCAACTGTGCTTCTTTACTGATAGAAAAAGTTAATATTGTAAGTGAGATATTTTTACTATCATTTTTTCTTGAGACTCTCTTGCAAGTAGACAATGGTCCAGTTTGCCTGTCTTCCTTTCCTCTCCCTTTTTCTTTCCGTCCTTCCTTCCTTCCTTCTTTCCTTCCTTCCTTTCTTCCTTCCTTCCTTCCTTCTTTCCTTCCTTTCTTAGGGATTGAACTTAGGGGCTTACCCATGCTAAGCAAATGCTCTACTATGGACATATACTCCCAACTCCACCTTATCTATTTGATTTTTCAAGCATTGATAATTACAATCTTAGAATTACTTTATAAAAAAATGAAAAAC